ATCCTGTTGGTTAGTAGATATCCTGTTGGTTAGTCGATATCCTGTTGGTTAGTCGATATCCTGTTGGTTAGTAGATATCCTGTTGGTTAGTCGATATCCTGTTGGTAAGTCGATATCCTGTTGGTAAGTCGATATCTTGTTGGTTAGTCGATATTCTGTTGGTTAGTCGATATCCTGTTGGTTAGTCGATGTTCTGTTGGTTAGTCGATATCCTGTTGATTAGTCGATATTTTCTAGTTGTTTTTACACAAAAAAGACATTTTGAATGTTAAGCTGATCATTAGGCTAGTGGTAAGTGGTGGTGGCGTTGTAGAAGAGTGTTTAATGTTACTAATTTACATGTTCGACCGACATATACATCCATGTAGTCATTAAAATGTTTGCGGTACAAGGGCATCATTGATAGATTTCTATCTAATTAAGAAATTCAACGACTTGATACTTCGCTGTTTGGTAAAAGAGCCTCCTATGGAAACAATATTAAGTCTGGCAAGAGAGTGTCACAATTCTCATGGGTACACCAAAAGTCAACTGAAAAGCAAGAACAGGTTCATACTACGATGTCAACCAGTAAATCTCATGTTTAAGCACTTTTCATGGTATACCGAACATAGAGATAATTGGAGCGGACACGGACGTAGGTAATTCATAGCTAGTTTAGAAATCAACCAAATGATGTGTTTTTTTTCATCGATTATATTCATGTACATTCTCTCCAATCGGAATGTGTTTACAAAGGTAACGGGAGTTTCAACTGTGAAGGACGATGAATAGTTAACATTTTTGTAAAAACATTGCTGAACATCGACATGGATGAACAAAAGGACGGATTTCCCGACGAGGACAAGTTTAATGTCAATGTCAAAGAAAGAAGGGATATGGGATATATAATTGGAACGAAGGTCTATAGAACTACAACTTGAAATGAAAGGAGAAATGAGATATTTACTTGGAATGAAAGGTAATGATCGGATGAACGATGGGGGATGAGTTATTTTCTAGGAACGGGAGAATCTGGATTTTCTACTGTAAACCCGGTTATCTATATAGAATAGGTGATGGACGTTTGTACTGCAAACAAAGAATCAGGAGATATTAAATATAAAGGTGTGGCTGAAATTGTCTACAAAGTACAAGTGTTAGAGGATATAAGTAATAGGCACGGAAATGGCTAGTTTATCTAGTGAAAGCAAAGATCACTGAATCATCTCCTGAGAACAACGGTGACGACACGGTCTACTTGGAGCGACGAAGGTAGATTTATACTTATCTGTTGAAAACAAGTTTATTTGCTGGGAACGAGGGTGACTTGATTAAACTGCTTGGAAGACGGATGATTTTTTTTCTAGCTTATTCACTGGAAAAGTATTCAACTTGACTAAATAAATATGAAGTAGCACCATCTACATCTTCTTGGAAAATATATAGATGGGTTATTTGGAAAGACAGAGGAAATTGCTTGATATTCGAAATCAACTGGCCTATTGCCCTGTAAGTGACGAGAACCATTATCACGTACATCTTAACCCTAAGCACGGAAATCAATACCAAGGTCGCTACGCATGGGATAACATCACTACACGTATTATCAATTATTGGCACTATTGTCACATTAGAATAAGAATTTTCAGGAATAGTCTCACTAACCCGATTTTCGACAAAATTTAATTTCCTTATTGTAATTGTAATCTGATATCTCAAACAATGTTTCCGTTCGTCTAATATTGCCACGTTGAAGAAGTGGTTGCGTTTGATGTCACATAATTTATGACGGTGGAATCGTGCCTGGATGAAGCTTTTAAGCCTTTAAACTGAACTGTACTGTGTAACCCCACCAAAACATCCGAGGCTTTTTCATTCCTTGTGTTATTGCTGTTAGAATTGTTATGAAACTGTACCTGATAGCAAGTCTATATTATCATTGTTACAACACTTATGTAATGTAAAATAATTTATTGACACTTGAGATAAATTCGTTTAGGACTCGATTCCTTCGATTAAATAAGACTAATAGGAAAAAGCTTCACTTTTGGATCCGTCGAAATATAGAAATTATTGAATACAACGTATTATTTTTCCTATATCAAAATACGTCAACTAGTTTCTACAGAACGTGGTTCTATGTATGATTAGTGCATTGATTTTGTACTTTGTTGATTTGCGCGATAAATAGCTGGAAGTTTTTGATGCTCGTTAGAGTGCCTGGTGTTTCCGGTCATCATTACCTTACTCTCGTTTGGAGAGTGTGATATTGTTTACTTGGAATGTCCGTGGCGGGTGTCGTCGATGAAGCAGAAGACGTTTACCCTTCCGTACCACCTTGTCGTATTCTGCTTTATCAAGAGACTCCGTGTAAATCTTTCTTTTATATTGCCATAGTTTCATCGAATCTGTGCTTTTGAATGTCGGTATTTCCTTACTTATCTAATTTTATTTGGTTGGGAGTTACTTTTGTTTTATCAGAGAAAAATATTATCAAATGAATTATCTTTTCTCAACAAGTAACTTGGACCTGGATTCAACAGCTCGATATATTGTATTATTCAATAAATTCATGTTTTCAGGAGATGCAGGCTGTTGAAGAATTTGGGAAGATTTTACGGTCACATTAGAGTATATACCATTGTGCGTTCTACCGCATTCGATATGCTAAATGTCGCTAGCATATGTTTGATGGTTTTATTACTATTTTCATTGTTCTCATTTAATAACCAAATTTTCCTTTGATTAAAATATAAGATAGAAAGTTAACTTTCTGAGATATGTAATCTTATTTTTTTGTTTCTTTTTAATGATGTATTGCGCACTCCTTTATCGACATTGGGTTTCTAATTTGTTGACAGGTCTACATGTATCTTTTCTGTCAATTTGACAAGGTTTTATCTTTAATGAAGAGAATGATGACATTGTTCAATTCTTCGAATCACTCGTCGTTCTGACTTGTGTCACCACACTAGAACACTAGGATCATTTCTCAACTTTCATTCACGGACTAATTTTTGAAAAAAAAAAAAAAAAACAGTGGAAAGAAAAGTGTGAAGATGGAAAGAATACACCTGTAAAGACATACCATATAAAATAGTCCAAAACATCTTTCATTGTGTTTAAAAAGATATACTACCATAGTTTTACGAACAACACTACTATGAACTAGCTATTAGGTTATAATGGATACTTCAAAATGACATTAACCAAATCACAAACCATGGAAGAGCAGGGCTCATTTGAAACACAAAAAATGGCTTCACCGCGGATCATATGCTCATAAACAACATGTATATCGATGTTCTTTCACTGCTTTTTCACGTGTCATTGCTACGTCTGTTTTTATAAATCGGTATGATAATAAATCTTTCTATGGTAAAATTTCTGAAACAATTTATTGCCAGTTTATCTGGAAATTGAATTTCATACCAAATGTTCATTTGGATACATACAGATGATTTGTGGGCAAATCATTTTTAAATCAACTGAAATAATAAACGGCTTATACGTCAGCGAGTGCTATTGAATTTTTCTCGTATCACGTTTATGAATTATGCAGTCACAAGTAATTTGAACAATATTACAATGTGATGTTGTGTTTTGTGAAGGTGTTTTTTTAATTAATTTTTTTTATAATTACCGTGTGTGAAACCCATATAAAAACGTTATTAAGATTAATTGGTGTTGTAATGAATACAATAGGTTGCTTACAATTATGTGTTTAGAATTAAAATCGATATTGAACAGGGACCATGGTACTTTGCAATATGGTTTAAGGTTGAAAGCCTTTTACGTACTTTTGCCCAGACTTATTGAATAAATACATATTCTACTTAGGAAAAGATAACAGATATCAATGACCACTGTCCGGAGGCAACCGTTATGTTTTGAATACTCATAAAAAGGTATACATTTGACCTTTCAACACTGCGCGAAAATTAGTGAATGTTAGTATTTTCCTTTCATAACAGCAAAACAGCTGTAATTTTTGGGATTACATATAAGAAATTATCTGAGATACCTATGAAACATAAATTATATTGACTGGTTTGTGGTACCTTCGCAATATGCCAAAAACATTTTTAGAAAAGTCAATATACATTTCCAGAACGGTATGAATAAATAATGAAACAGTATGTAATCAATCATGCATATCGCCAGTCGATATTCAGACTGATGACAGGTATCTGATGTTGCACAGAAGATGTGTCATTTACCATCCAACCAAACAATCCTGAAACGCAGTCATCACAAAGAAGGCACAAAAATCTAGTGATATTGTTAATTCACTGTTATGAGAATACTATACACTATTTAAGGTATTTCATCAAAATCTTATCTATTATCTACCAATCCAAGATAAAAAAAAAAGGGCAAACTACATGAAATACTTTCGATGCTAAACATAAGCCACGTTGTCGTGATCATTATTGATAAGGGATCATTTGCTGACATTATTGTAGAAATATTTATGAAATAATAAGCAACATTTAAAGAATTTGAATTCTTATTTGATAATAGGTGACTAGATTTTCGCAAGTTGGTCCAAACCATTGATTGTTCATATGGACTTTTCGATGTAAACCCTTATTTGTGTTCTACGTTCACCGTTTTGTTTAAGTGGAGAGTAAGACCTTGTTGATACATTTACATGTGTTTTGGCACAGATCATTTTGATTTGTGTCAACAGAGGAACATGATTTAGTCAGACCAACTGTATATAAACTTGAACGTTGTTCCACACATACTGCTGGCACAAGATGAAAGTTTGCTTGTCAGTTTTACAAATATTTCCTCCATGTTACTTGTATTAACTCACTATTCATGTCTTCTTGAAAATTACTTTTTGAGTTCTTGTGAAAACGCTGATGAATTTCTTTCAATAAAGTAGGAAATTAAATTCGATTTTAAAAATACAGACACAATGAAACAATATTTTTGTGGGTTGGAACAATTTGGTCTTTATTCAATATTTACTCATTTTTTCATTTAAATAGGAGTGAACTGACGACAGCATGAACTGGGTCATACTTGCTTACACACTGTTTGGATGTCTCGTCTGCGCAGGTTAGCTTTTTCATTTACCTCATTTTGTATACTAAAACACATAGCAGAAAATAGACAACTCACTAGTCATTTCATTTTAAGTGCTTTCAAGCTTTCTTAATTCAGCACATGTCGCTGCACGGAACAAATGCACAAAAGGAGCACATTTATGGGGATATTGAAAATATATCATATTTTCACCCATATATCATATGCTGGTGAGTAGGGCAGTAATTAGCTACCCAATGGATACTCTGGCTCAAAATGACCATTGCTGTTGATGATAAAGCAAGCAATCAGTGGTATTTATGTGAAATTATCTTTTCTTATGATTTTATACAGTAAGCAATAATTCACACTCTGTTGCGTAATCAATGACAACATTTGTACTTAATTATGTACACTATTTTTCCTAACTATGCAGATATGTTATTGGACAGCTGCGGTCAAGAGTGTTTAGATTTCATCAAATCCATAAGCAAGGAAGCAGATACTATCATTCGAACGCGAACAGGTAACATGGAGAATTAAGTTACGTAATAATCTTCAAAGCCTAGTCACGTATATTCTGAATATTCACTTGGGATTTGCTTTCATTTTTTTTTTTTTTTTTTTAATTTTCTTTTTTTTATTCAGGATTTTCAGCAATATATGGTGTTGATTACATTCATAACATATATTCACTCAAGCATCACACTGCTCACATGTATGCTAACTTGCATCAGTTGATAAAAAGAGATACACATATATTGCCTTATTAAGAGAAACAGGAAGAGAAGAAAAGTGGAGGAGAAAAGCAGAGAAAGAAAAAAGAAAGAGAGCAAAAAAAAATCTTGGGTTTTGCTTTCATATAGGAACACCTTACTTTCTCTACGATCCATAGTTCAATTTCTACTGTTTAAACTATTCTGTATCGGTAAAAACTACAGTACAGTGAGCCAGGAATGTAAGGGCTGCTTTCTTATAGCTGAGTGCCATATGGATTCGACATGAATTCGCATAATTTATACTTAATCAGACGAATATTCGTATAGGAATTTCTACCGATTGACATCCCTAGTTAAAACGAATGATTACGCAGCTAGATTGATTCACATGATATAAGAATTACTACTTATCAAATCGTCAGGTAGCAGCACGGTCAAACCAACAAGTTTATTTAAATACTTTGTTCATTTTTATCTAGAATTAAGAAAACATTTCTTCGAACGAAGCAAATTTCACACCATATTTTAAGCTTTAGTTTGATGTTAGTATTTGCTGGATATCACAATTACGTCGCACACCTTTCCAATTTTGTTGTAGATAGTTTAGGTTTTTTAAATTAAAATATCCTTTGTTTTTAATGCTTAATGCTTAGCTTCTACAAGGATGTGTCATATATTTTGTGAAGAGACAGGTATTATCAAGTTACTTTCGTCGTTGATGTTGCTTTTGATGTCACCTAAAACGACAAAGATTAAGTCGTCAACGTTCACTCTTTCACGACTGTAACCTGAACATGTCCTAATGACCAGCTATTTGAATCTACGGAAGTGAGATTAAATTGCATAATACTCATTCATGCCAATTTATAATAATAAATGCACATCAAACTATATCTTCATTTTCTTGTTCTGATTTTTAATATCCTTCGGACTATATTTAATACGGAGGAAGTGTAATCAGGCTAAATTTCAACCCAATATGTTTTTATCTTCTATAATACGTAACTCATTCCAATTCCTGGTAGTATATTTGTTCGTTCATATAGCGATATGCATTGTCAAATCACTTACGAAAGACTATACTGTGTCAGTCATTTGTTTAGTATCCATCATCCTATCCAGGCAGGGGTATGACATAATTAGTATGTTATCAAGCTAATATTTCATATTTCAAATCACTGCAGCCGGAATGTGGCGTCTGAATATTACCATGAAACCTCGGACAGCGTATACTAGTAGATGGAAATCTCTTCGTTTTCCCAGCAAAGGGTCGGAGTATATCAGGTATGTTTATACAACACTATCAATTAAGCCCGTCATTCGCCCTGTTGATACTTAAGGTACGTTCAATATATCTACATAATATTGGTAATATTGGTAATTTGAGGTTAATTGATAGACCGACTGCAACGCCTGATAATATTATGAGCCTTGTTTAGAAATAACTTCCTTGATAAATTTGGATTATATTCCTTGTATAAGCGTACGGCTTTGATAACAATCATTCTATCGTCTTTGGCGATGGATCAGATAAAACCTTCGTGTGTTTAAATGCAGGTAGTGATGTGCATGTTACTGTGTATTTAATTTCTCATTGACCTCTCAAATATTCAATGCTGGAAATTTTAATCACTGTAATGAAATAAAATTGGAATTTATTCGTGTCTATATACATTTTATTCTATGATACTGTAGCAAGAAGAATTAACCCTTTTGTCGCATACATAAAAACATCGAGAAATGAGACTAGATTCACATCGCCAGATAATCGACTTCAGTCGATTAGATAACACTTAGCAACGGGAAGTGTCATGGAGATGGTTAACCATCATCATCATCAGAATGGGAGAAGGCTTAAATACACAATACCTGATGCCCCTACCTTTTGTGCAATAGAATTTGCTGAAATTGAAAACTTTAAATTTAAATTGAAAGCATTATCATTATTAACATAATGAGACGACTAGGATCATGATAATAAATGTTAATTTAACTTCATTCCAGCAACTTAGAGATTCGTTGGCCGATCAATGCTTACCCGGGTAGAATAATCATGTTTGAAGTGAGTTATATGAAGCTACAGGATAGTCCAGGATGTCAGGCCGACAGTGTTCAACTCTACAATGGTACGTTGAGGCTACTTGGGCAAATTAATTCATGTATTATATATTAATGTAATTATTTTACCCTCTTCATTTACACTGTATAAAAGAAGTATCGCAACACTATGGACATTCTGAACAATAGTCAGACCCTGATCTGAAGTTACTAGAAACTTTCTGGATTTAGATCTGTAATTTAAAAATTCGTTAATTATCTATCCGAATCTCTATGCAGGAATCTCTAATGATACAAGTCATAGGCATTTGATAGAGAGTATGTTAACTATGACTACGTGAACTCGCACAAGAAAGCTTAAAAGGGAAGATAATAACCCATTTTTCTGTCTTAGGTAACAGTTATAGTGACCGTATGGATATCTTTTGTGGAACATCTATTGGATTGGGTTACTACAACTCGACTGAAACTTCTACATCTGTCAGGTTCTTCTCGAACGGTGACGCTTTTGTAGGGGAAGGCTTTAAGATCAGATATCGAGCTGTCGCACTTCGTAAGTACTCAGTTACGTTCACATAATTGAAATTATCAACATTATGGACAATTCTAGTGTTTAGCGTACTAAATCTTTTATTTCTCAGTTAAATCACCTGGTTAATGTATCTTCGGCATTCATTCAATAGATTTATAAAAACGTAGTATTTTTAATGTTAGGTTATGTAATACCATCTTTATAACGGTATAAACATAAAAGATATATGATTTATAACATATATATGGATATTGCAGCAGTAACCACCACCACGACCCCCACCACCACGACCCCCACCACCACCACTACTACCACGACCCCCACCACCACAACAACAAAACCAGCAACAACATCAACAACAACTCTGACAACAACAACGACATTATCAACAACAACTTCTCAAATGACAACAACATTACCGACAACAATTATAACAACAAAACAGACACCAGCACCAACGACAACGACTTTGACAACGACAAGCGTTATAGCTACCACAACGACTGACAAGTCGACGGTACCCACTGACTTAACAACAATAGGTGGAGTTACGTCGCCAGCTTCAAACCCAGGGATGGAAGCCGGAGATCAATCTCATCTTTGTATGTCAGAGCACCTCGTTCAGTAGTAGTCCCTTTTAAATACAGCTTCCAGTAAAACATGTCTGTTTTCATATAGAGTGTTGTTCTTATCCTTATATTGTGTCTCCACTTTTAATTGCTATATCCATCCAATGTAACTACCCATCCTTTATCAGAGTGATATGGTACTTAACATAACACATTTTCTTATTAATAACATACATGTAATCACGAATAGATGTTTGCATAGCACAACTAGTCAGAGCATTTAGAGAGTTCTGCTAAGTACACAGTCAGACTTGATTTGTCTTTCCAATATACATTACCAATGTTTCGAGTTACATCTAATTCATTTGTCCTATACAAAAGAGCCGTCATATAAATTTGAATTTTAGAATATTATTTCGTTCACTGATGACATTATTTTGCAGAAAAAGTTGTCCATCAAACCTATTATGTCTGTAGATGGTTTTGTTACGGGTTTTGCTACATGTTTAGATAACGGATGGTCGCTTCTGTATATAATGCTTTAGGTGTTTCTGAGCAACGCTATACTAAGTTCAGGATTTCTATTTTTATACTTATTCAGCTTTATTCATGCTTGTTTAACCTTACCTTAGGTCAGCCTATTTCTTCCTCTGTTTACTATTAGATATATTATAAATAGTCTTGATGCTTTACACTGTCTCTTGATTCACGTTTGTCTTGTTAAACCAGTTGAAATCCTTGTCACTATGGCTACCATCGATATCACTAATTAAAACAAAGAGCACGAAACGACGTATAATAGCGTCATAGTCAACGCGAATGTTTTGTAATAAATTTGATAAAAATGGAATTTTAAAAATCGCCTTCAAAGTCAAATGGTACTGTACTTTGGGTCAAAGCAATTGAAAGTATCTAAATGAAACGTCAACAATATGCATTATATGACTGACATTTCATCATTTATGTTTGTATCAATGTCTGTTTATAAATGTTACCGTTTGAATGTGGTAGACGATAATGAATATGGTAATGTTAATTGGAGTGTGTGTTACTTACATAATTCGCTTTGGTTAAAAGGAGACTGCTTGTGGTAGTTTATGTACAATGTCTATTTTCTAAATGCTATAACATCGTGACCTATTATGGATGATAATTCCGTTGAACACATTGTTAATTGTTTAGTGTTATGCAAGTTCGTAAACGATTCACATTCTTAAATTAAAAAACGACTTCGAACCAAATGAAATTACTCATTTATTTTCAGGCATTATGTCTGCTGTGGTATCACATGATGAATTTGCATGGTTTTAATTATTCAAAATATTTATAATAAACTGTTGATTTTTTAAAACCCATGTTTCCGTATTTCATGTTTTCATTTCATTGGATATTCCCAAAATAAGCAAAATATTTTATATCATTATTCAACTAAATGCAAATTTTCTTACATAAAGTTTATGTGTAAAGGCGTGATATTTAAAGAACAATTTGATATAAAACATGTTTTTAACTTACAGCTATCCCGTTTTGCTTTCATCACTACACAAACCAGCATATTTTGACTGCCACAACGGAAGCCCAGGTGTTTAAATCACGTGGTTACCCATTGTCATATCCAAGGTTAGTATGGTAGAAGCGCAGTCGTATGATAAGAACAACATTATGGGCGACTCCGTCATGTCCTATACAGAAAAAGAGACAGTTAATGAGGTCCAAAGTGTTGTTACTACATAACCAATGTATGTACTATTTAATATCTGTATTCGAAGTCATTGCGGACTAAATTCATTTAATTCCTGGTACGATTATAATATTAAAACGTTTAACCTTCGATTTGGATTGACATTGCATATCTATTTAGGATATTATAAGCTGAGGCCTAACATTTGGAGCTATGACCATCATACGTAATGTTCCATTGCTATGACCATCATACATAATGTTCCATTTCTTAAACTTGTTACATAATGTTCCATTTCTTAAACTTGTTACAGCAACCTTAGGGAGGAATGGCTGATCGTTAAACCGGAAGCGAACGACTCCTTAACCATTCTTGTTGTAGACGCCGACACTGAGTACAGTGGCAACTGTGGCTATGATAGGGTGGCCATATATGATCGTACGTACAAACACGAAGCTTGAATTTTTTTTGTATTACTTCTAAAAGCTATACAAACCAATATCTCTGTGTTTATTCAATTTTGTGCTTCTATGGTATTGTCTCTCGTTTTCTAGGTAGCTGTCCAAATACTGCTGCGAAAAAGGTTTTTTGTGGAACAGCAACACCAACTGTGACGCTCAAGGGAGATAAGTTTGCCCTTGTTCGGTTTTATGCCGACACTACAAACAATGGACGAGGGATCATGGTTAAATACTACCTGGAACAGAAAACAGGTCAGCTGTATCCATTTACTTATATACTTGCATTGATCTGTACTGTAAGAAAGATCTAATACGTTCATAAAAAGCACTTTTGAAAGCATTATCAATAATATAAATAAATTCGCTAATCAAGTATTTCCAACATCATTGAAGAGTAAAAGGCTTCCTTCCTCCAAAAGCAATTCAGGAAAACTCCTCAGTGCATTTAAAAATAGAGATGGTTCACTGAACTTAACTCCGTAGTCAATGTAATTATTTAGTTTAGTTCTCTATTTTACCGTTTTCTTCAGCAGACTTAACAGCAGATAACAGCGGGTTAGATGACGGAAGCATAAAATCCATCATCGTGGGTGTCATTGTTGCAGTTGGTGGTTTTTGCTTATCACTTGGAATAATTCGATGGGTGATGCGATGTCAAGAGAGGCAAAAACGTAAAACTGAAAACGTCAGACGACCTGGCAGGGAAGTAAACGAAAACGAGGATTCGCTGACAAGCGCATCAAGGCGTCACGTGCACCGACGTTCGAGGGATGACACCACGATTACTGTTGTAGCTATATCCCATTCAGGTCGAACACACAGGAATGGTCGAAGCGGCAGAAATTCCTTGACGAATTTTACAGGCACTGTTGTCCAGCCTCCGTCTTACAACACACTGTTTGATAGCAGTCAGTCACAGTCCGAAATAATTCTTAAACCTCCAGCATACGAGGCAAAGTCGTACGAACCCCCACCTTACCCCGGCTTCCCCGTACCTCCGCCTGCAATAGAAACACCAAGATCAGCAAACCGATTGTTGCCTTCCGTACATGGGACAAGGGGAGGTAACCGTCGAAATCAGAGAAGAACTCAACATACAACACGGATCGTGGTGAAACCGCAGGACGCTGACAGGGAGGAAATACGTTCTCCTCCACCGAGATATGAGGAATGACGATGAGCTTTTCAAAAACACCACATCAAAATTGCTGATCTAATTAAGAGGGTTTTATAAATCGTTGTATTGGAGCTTATATTTTTAGAAATATTTTCTCTGGTGTAACAATTGAAATCGAGTTTTGATGTCATTACTATTTTTGACACCGAACGTTTCCTTTTCATGACCAGTACGTTTTGACAAGTGGAGGTTAATATCACTGAGATGCTGAAATGACTTCCTAATTGCATGGGAATGGTGTTTGTTGCAAATATGAATCACTTGCTCAACCTTTTCTTGAAATTTTGGAATCGATGATATAGGAAAAGTGCAATTGGATTTTTTATATGTATTTTTTATCGTGTTTTAATGTTATTCTTTTACGAGTATACAGACCATAATTTAGCTGTTCGAAGACTAAACAAGTCGTATTCGAAACGCGTGTTATCCGTCCAGCAGTAATAACCAATGAGAGAGTAATTTTCATTGAGAAATGTCGTTTTTATCTATACAAGTTTTATTATTGGGGTCTTTTTAACTATAATTCAAGCTTAATTAGTGGAGGTCTCGGTGAGGACAGTACTTAGTAGTGGAGGTCTCGGTGAGGACAGTACTTAGTAGTGGAGGTCTCGGTGAGGACAGTACTTAGTAGTGGAGGTCTCGGTGAGGACAGTACTTAGTAGTGGAGGTCTCGGTGAGGACAGTACTTAGTAGTGGAGGTCTCGGTGAGGACAGTACTTAGTAGTGGAGGTCTCGGTGAGGACAGTACTTAGTAGTGGAGGTCTCGGTGAGGACAGTACTTAGTTGTGGAGGTCTCGGTGAGGACAGTACTTAGTAGTGGAGGTCTCGGTGAGGACAGTACTTAGTAGTGGAGGTCTCGGTGAGGACAGTACTTAGTAGTGGAGGTCTCGGTGAGGACAGTACTTAGTAGTGGAGGTCTCGGTGAGGACATAACTTAGTAGTGGAGGTCTCGGTGAGGACAGTACTTAGTAGTGGAGGTCTCGGTGAGGACAGTACTTAGTAGTGGAGGTCTCGGTGAGGACAGTACTTAGTAGTGGAGGTCTCGGTGAGGACAGTACTTAGTAGTGGAGGTCTCGGTGAGGACAGTACTTAGTAGTGGAGGTCTCGGTGAGGACAGTACTTAGTAGTGGAGGTCTCGGTGAGGACAGTACTTAGTAGTGGAGGTCTCGGTGAGGACAGTACTTAGTAGTGGAGGTCTCGGTGAGGACAGTACTTAGTAGTAGTGGAGGTCTCGGTGAGGACATTACTTGGAGGTCTCGGTGAGGACAGTAGTAGTGGAGGTCTCGGTGAGGACAGTACTTAGTAGTGGAGGTCTCGGTGAGGACATTACTTAGTAGTGGAGGTCTCGGTGAGGACAGTACTTAGTAGTAGAGGTCTCGGTGAGGACATTACTTAGTAGTGGAGGTCTCGGTGAGGACAGTACTTAGTAGTGGAGGTCTCGGTGAGGACAGTACTTAGTAGTGGAGGTCTCGGTGAGGACAGTACTTAGTAGTGGAGGTCTCGGTGAGGACAGTACTTAGTAGTGGAGGTCTCGGTGAGGACAGTACTTAGTAGTGGAGGTCTCGGTGAGGACAGTACTTAGTAGTGGAGGTCTCGGTGAGGACATTACTTAGTAGTGGAGGTCTCGGTGAGGACAGTACTTAGTAGTGGAGGTCTCGGTGAGGACAGTACTTAGTAGTGGAGGTCTCGGTGAGGACAGTACTTAGTAGTGGAGGTCTCGGTGAGGACAGTACTTAGTAGTGGAGGTCTCGGTGAGGACAGTACTTAGTAGTGGAGGTCTCGGTGAGGACAGTACTTAGTAGTGGAGGTCTCGGTGAGGACAGTACTTAGTAGTGGAGGTCTCGGTGAGGACAGTACTTAGTAGTGGAGGTCTCGGTGAGGACAGTACTTAGTAGTGGAGGTCTCGGTGAGGACAGTACTTAGTAGTGGAGGTCTCGGTGAGGACAGTACTTAGTAGTGGAGGTCTCGGTGAGGACAGTACTTAGTAGTGGAGGTCTCGGTGAGGACATTACTAGTAGTAGTAGTGGAGGTCTCGGTGAGGACAGTACTTAGTAGTGGAGGTCTCGGTGAGGACAGTACTTAGTAGTGGAGGTCTCGGTGAGGACAGTACTTAGTAGTGGAGGTCTCGGTGAGGACAGTACTTAGTAGTGGAGGTCTCGGTGAGGACAGTACTTAGTAGTGGAGGTCTCGGTGAGGACAGTACTTAGTAGTGGAGGTCTCGGTGAGGACAGTACTTAGTAGTGGAGGTCTCGGTGAGGACAGTGAGGACGGTGAGGACAGTACTTAGTAGTGGAGGTCTCGGTGAGGACAGTACTTAGTAGTGGAGGTCTCGGTGAGGACAGTACTTAGTAGTGGAGGTCTCGGTGAGGACAGTACTTAGTAGTGGAGGTCTCGGTGAGGACAGTACTTAGTAGTGGAGGTCTCGGTGAGGACAGTACTTAGTAGTGGAGGTCTCGGTGAGGACAGTACTTAGTAGTGGAGGTCTCGGTGAGGACAGTACTTAGTTGTAGTGGAGGTCTCGGTGAGGACAGTACTTAGTAGTGGAGGTCTCGGTGAGGACAGTACTTAGTAGTGGAGGTCTCGGTGAGGACAGTACTTAGTTGTGGAGGTCTCGGTGAGGACAGTACTTAGTAGTGGAGGTCTCGGTATTGACAGTACTTAGTATTGGAGGTCTCGGTGAGGACAGTATCTAGTAGTGGAGGTCTCGGTGAGGACAGTACTTAGTAGTGGAGGTCTCGGTGAGGACAGTACTTAGTAGTGGAGGTCTCGGTGAGGACAGTACTTAGTAGTGGAGGTCTCGGTGAGGACAGTACTTAGTAGTGGAGGTCTCGGTGAGGACAGTACTTAGTAGTGGAGGTCTCGGTGAGGACAGTACTTAGTAGTGGAGGTCTCGGTGAGGACAGTACTTAGTAGTGGAGGTCTCGGTGAGGACAGTACTTAGTAGTGGAGGTCTCGGTGAGGACAGTACTTAGTAGTGGAGGTCTCGGTGAGGACAGTACTTAGTAGTGGAGGTCTCGGTGAGGACAGTACTTAGTAGTGGAGGTCTCGGTGAGGACAGTACTTAGTAGTGGAGGTCTCGGTGAGGACAGTACTTAGTAGTGGAGGTCTCGGTGAGGACAGTACTTAGTAGTGGAGGTCTCGGTGAGGACAGTACTTAGTAGTGGAGGTCTCGGTGAGGACAGTACTTAGTAGTGGAGGTCGGTGAGGACGGTGAGGACAGTACTTAGTAGTGGAGGTCTCGGTGAGGACAGTACTTAGTAGTGGAGGTCTCGGTGAGGACAGTACTTAGTAGTGGAGGTCTCGGTGAGGACAGTACTTAGTAGTGGAGGTCTCGGTGAGGACAGTACTTAGTAGTGGAGGTCTCGGTGAGGACAGTACTTAGTAGTGGAGGTCTCGGTGAGGACAGTACTTAGTAGTGGAGGTCTCGGTGAGGACAGTACTTAGTAGTGGAGGTCTCGGTGAGGACAGTACTTAGTAGTGGAGGTCTCGGTGAGGACATTACTTAGTAGTGGAGGTCTCGGTGAGGGCATTACTTAATACTAGAAGTCTCGGTGAGGGCATTTTTAGAGTTGGAGGTCTCGGTGAGGACATTTTTTGAAGTGGAGGAAGGTCTCAAGGAAGAAAGCACTTTTGGGAATCGTTTGGTATAGGGCTGTTATACAGATATCTTGCTTTGTAATATACTAATAAATAACAGTTTTTATGTCCGCCATAGACACATGACTTGGGTACCATTTTTTGTTGTGTCAATGTTTGTCGTAGCATAAGTATGTGCCTTTGTTAATTAAGAATTACGAACATTTTTTATTTGTTTGGTATTCTCTTTATTGATGTTTATTTTGTGTCTTGGTCTGCATTGTCTAAATTTATGATACTTTTTAAATCATTGAATTAATAAGTAAGTGTATTTACGCCATTTCGGCACAATCTACGAAATCGCACGACAATATAGCGTAAATAGTTTCTTGTTCAAAGAAATGATGACCAACTTTGTTATATATATAATTATATTGTATTCTAAATGTTCTCTCTAAATGTTGACCGGACAACTGTCTCGGTATCATTGTATTTATCTGTCATACAATGATATTATTTCAACTCGTGTGGACAGTAAATATCTGAAAGATAATTTCAAGAATGCATAATGTACTTGCTTAAACTGTTTTCTATTTGTTATTTCAAGTCAATATTTCTTCGTTTATCATCTATCTTGTCTATGCTTAAATGTCGCGAAATTGTTATATTACAATAGTCCGAATCCTACAACATGAAAAACATCAGCTTTCTTGTCTTACAGGATGTTATGTTGGTTATGGAGGTCTTCATTTGGGTTTTTCTGACAGATCTTTTTCGTAGTAAACGTTAATGCAATTATTCTTGCTTGGTCATTCTAAACTGTAGGGATAATATACATCTACTCATACACATTCAATGTTTGTTTTTTACTGCTTTCTTTCCTCTCTTTTTCAAAAAATATTTTTTAAAATGAGTTCTTGAAAACCTTTTCTGTCCAATCTCAGTGATATTGTATACATATTTATATTAATCATACTATTACAGTATTGACACCATAAACATTTGCTAAAGATTAACTTTTATTACTCGTAACATCATATGAAGCTGTAGAATTCAACAAATGTTTCCTGTTTGGTATAGCTAGGAACATTGTCAGTTTGGTCAATTTATATACCCAAGAAAAGTATTTTGATTTTCTAGATAAGTTTAACAAGGTATTGACTAAACCAGATATCTATTCCGTTACGTCATAATAGATAATGAAAATTCCATTACGTCATAATAGATAATGAAAATTGCAGGTTGATAATTTGCGAAATTATCGGCACTTTTCTATTTGTTGTTACATTGTAGTTTCATTATCGTTATAGTACACGCATAATATTATATCAAATTGTTTGTACATATAAAACTTGTTGGTGTTATATTGTTAAACGTCTGTGATGTTGTTGAGACTGTCTCCTTTTGAGAGAGAAGACGAA